TATCGTTGATTCCCTTGCCGGGATGTTTGTTGATATTGTTGATTCCCTTGCCGGAATAGTATTGTTGGTTCCCTTGCCGGGACATATTGTTTTCTATTGGTTGGGTGAGGAAGAGTGTAAATCACGAAGGGTGATGACGTGCATGATATTGTGAGAGAGTGTAAAGCACGAAGGGTTATGTCGTGTCGATATTATGATTGTTAATGCACGAAGGGTGATGCCGTGCCATGATTTAAGAGTTAAAGCACGAAGGGTGATGTTGTGCCGGCATTGTGAGGAATAATGCACGAAGGGTGATGCCGTGCCATGATTATGTGAGGTAATGCACGAAGGGTGATGCCGTGCCGTTTCTGTTATTCATATGGTGAGGACGAGAGTAAAAGCACGAAGGGTGAAGTCGTGCACGTGTTACCATTTTATTATTCTTGTTGATTTATATATGATGTTCATTATGCTACCTTATTGATGCTTCCTTATTGGTTTACTGTTAGAATCTGATACTTTCCCCGGAGCATGTCCCCTTCCCACCTTATTTTGTTGATTTCTGTTATTATGTTTCTGCTTGTATATGATTTCTCTGCACAGGTACATATTATTGTCGTGTCCTAGCCTCGTCACTACTTTGTCGAGGTTAGGCTCGACACTTACTCAGTACATGGGGTCGGTTGTACTGATACTACACTCTGCACTCTTTTGTGCAGATTTCGGTACCGGACCCAGTGAGTAGCTGAGGTAGCTGGCCTTCAATCCAGGGAGACCAAGGTAGATCTGCTAGCGTCCGCAGAGCCTAGAGTCCCCCTTCCTTGTGTAGTTTTTCTACTGTCTCTTATCATTCTGAGAACGGTTATACTTTTCTTTTCAGACTTATATTTGTAGTAAAAATCTTAGTCGTTCGTGAATTTGTGACACCAGATTCGTGGGTAGACACATATTGGAGTACTTGGATTTATTTTAACTCTTCCGCGCTTTTCATTTGTTTAACTTTAGTTACTATTTTCAATTGTTTGGGTTGATTGTAAATGTGTTGAACCGTAATAGTTGGCTTGCCTAGCTTTCACGAGTAGGCGCCATCACGACTCCCGAGGGTGGGAAATTCGGGTCGTGACAATATATGCCAATGTGAATTCTCAATTAATTTTTGCATCATAATTGTACCGGGATGGCCAACCGGTCATGCCAACTAATATTTGTTTCAGTAAATAATTAATTTACTATGGCATGTGATTCCATCATCATGTTTATACATCTGTAGTATAAATAGAAGAAAAGTCGGGTAACCTTTAATATTTACCCGGTATGATTATAGTAATATGAAGATATTCAATCTTCATTTTATTTATAGTCTCAATATGCCAACCACTTTGGCTAATATATTTAAAACTCAAAAAGTTCCTTTTGAGACTTACAATAATATCAATGTCATAAATATTTTCATTCATCCGGGTAGTAATAAATTAGTTCTTCCGGAACTCTTAGTTAATTTTGTACTACAAGATCTTTTATCAGACCATCCATATGGTGAATGTCTCCTTCTCGGAAAAATTATATCACAATAATTGTCATGGTCAAAATCGTCAGAAGAAAAATCATTTCTTGCTTTAACTCTGCCTTTAATAACCTTTTATAAGGCACAGCAAAATACTTTTGGCGTACCACATATACGCGACCAATGACATAGTCATGTAACCACATTGTAATATTCATTATCTTTATTTCTCTTAAACCTCCCTTAGAGGTGAGCTGTAATATTTATCCAACCATGCATAAGCATATTCTTATGCAGAATTTGTATCACATATATATTTTCACATTCACTTTCAGGAATGAGTCTGCATTTACAATGCTTATCACAAGTCACATTTTCAAGTAATGGACTATAATCATGTGAGCGTGTCTCGTATTAACAGATCACATCGATACATATTTCCTTCACCTTTGAAAGATTATTTTGAGAATCCTTATTGTTCTCCTTTATACATTTACCATAATGATGACTATTATTATTTTGGTCTTTGGCACGCCCACGTTCATTGGTCCATCACTTGTCTTCATTTAGACTTATTATGCATCACTATCACATTCACTTCAAGAATGGAGCAAATTAAGTGGGACAAGCTTCATGCTCTTTCATGAAAAATACATTATTTTTCATTAGTCATCATGATATCATCAATATAGTGCATTGGAACTCAAACCAATACCTTACCCAAATAAAGGCGTGTAAGACTATAATGCGTTGGGACTCACACCCAACTCTTATCATCATGTGCATCAGAACTTGAATTCGATGTCTTACCTCAAGCCTTTAAAATACTGCACATTTATAGTGATTACATGCATAAAACCGATTAGTACTCTAGTGGTATCATATTTTCAGGTTCATATGAACTAATAGTATAAAAATACTTATTCTACACTACATAACTAATATATGTGGTATCGGTTAAAAATTGAACATTGATATCTCTATAACTCAACGCAAATATCATGTCCGTTAATTTGATTAAAACAAATTAAGTGGTGCACAAATATGATATAAAGATATCTAATCGTAAATTAGATAGTCGAAAAGATGTCTAAACCGTCAATATGTCCAGTTAGTGTATGGTATACATCATGAAATTATACATGTTAATTAGCATAGCTTAAAATGTACTATAACGCATGTAGCAAGTAGCAACTATACTGATTAATACGAATACCCTTATTACACTAAGGTCTATATCATGCAATTCCAGTAACAATTTAACTATGTGATTTGACATGCTACATAACTAGTATTATAAAATAATACTTATAACCTATTGAAAGATTATATTCGGCCATTTATTTGACCCATTAGAAGTAAAAGTCCCCAAAGACTTAAATTTGAAGAAAATAAATCACACGATGACAAACGGCATCGACAAACAGTGTCTGGCAAAAGAAGCCTCGCTGTTAGAGAAACAAACCTTAGTTAATGGTTCAACCATTTCATAACTTTTACCATAACTCACCATAACGTGTGTGTTACCTTTGTATTTTTCTGGGAATGAAACTGGATTGCCTTGAGCAGGAATCCAGCGACGACAGAACAAAAATTAATAAAGGCTCGTCCACTTATTGTTCATATTTTGTGAGCAATTCGTGCTGATAACGTGTTAAGAAACTAAATCAAAATAACAATATTAAACAAGAAAATAGACAAGAATGTAGAGAGCAAGAGAAGAGAGCTTCTTATTTCTTTCAAGTGTTTCAAGTGTATCCAATGTGATGCCCAAACCCTATATTTATAGGATGATATAGGTAATACAAAGGGATGCCATGAACATGGTATTAACTATTGAGAACATGGGGGAAGATCATGGAGGTGTGGGAGTTACATCCATAATATTAAGAAGTAGTGGGAGGTTAATGGAGAAGAGTAGTAGGCGTTACTCCCTAAGGAGTTATGGACATACACCATAATCAAGTATTTCATAACATTCTTTTTAATTTATAAAATTTAGCAGGATCATAATATTATCTGCAAAATGTGCAGTTACTAATACTAGTAGACAATTATGGCAAATGTTTAATTAGAACTTTCTTTATAAAACGAAGAAAACGTACGAATAAGGAAACAGTCAAATTCTCCTTTCCCACTTAATATTCATGCAATTTCAGTAACAATTTAACTATGTGATCTGACATGCTACATAACTAGTATTATAAAATAATACTTATAACCTATTGAAAGATTATATTCAGTCATTTATTTGACCCGTTAGAAGTAAAAGTCCCCAAAGACTTAAATTTGAAGAAAATAAATCATACGATGACAAACGGCATCGACAAACAATGTCTGGCAAAAGAACCCTCAGTGTTAGAGAAACAAACCTTAGTTAATGGTTCAACAAATTTCATAACTTTTACCATAACTCACTATAACGTGTGTTACCTTTGTATTTTTCTGGGAATGAAACTGGATTGCCTTGAGCAGGAATCCAACGGCGACAGAACAAAAATTAATAGAGGCTCATCTACTTGGTGTTCATATTTTGTGAGCAATTCGTGCTGATAACGTGTTAAGAAACTAAATCAAAATAACAATATAAAATAAGAAAATAAACAAGAATGTAGAGAGAAAGAGAAGAGAGCTTCTTATTTCTTTCAAGTGTTTCAAGTGTATCCAATGTGATGCCCAAACCCTCTATTTATAGGATGATATAGGTAATACAAAGGGATACCATGAACATGGTACTCCCTCCGGTCCAAAATAAGTGATTTTTTGGATGTTTTCACACAGATTAAGAAATTCACCTTTTAGCATTAATTAGCAATAGAATTTACCATATTAACCTTTACTATCTCACATAAACACTCCTAACACATATTCCAACACTATTTACTCCAAGGACAATGTAGGAAAAAAATAATTAATTCATTCTTGAAATCTGGAAAAATTACTTATTTTGGACCACAAGAAAAAAGCCAAAAAAATCACTTATTTTGGACCGGAGGGAGTATTAACTATTGAGAACATGGGGAAGATCATGGAGGTGTGGGATTTACATCCATAATGGTAAGACATAGTGGGAGGTTAATGGAGAAGAGTAGTGGGTATTACTCCCTTAGGAGTTATGGACATCCACCATAATCAAGTATTTCATGACATTCTTTTTAATTTATAAAATGTTGCAGGATCATAATATTATCCGCACATTGTGCGGTTACTCATACTAGTAGGCAATAATGGGCAAATGTTTAATTGAAACTTTCTTTATAAAACGAAGAAAACGTACGAATAAGGAAACCAGTCAAATTCTCCTTTCCCACAACCCTTCCGTTGACACGTGAAAGCAAAAATTCAAGTCTCTAATTGTTCTCCTACTGTTATCCGAATAATAGTTTGGTAGATTCAAATTCGTAATCGAAAAAGTGTATAAAATTCGTATAATTTTTTTATATAACATATAAGATGTATATATACAAAAAAATTTATAGTTTTCGATTATTATTTTGAAAGCGACTATACAATATCGAGAAATTTTATTTTGCATGAGATTCAACTATTATGTGGCAGACACAACTTGCATGAGACTCCTTTAGAATTTTGCCAAGTGTATTTTTGGTCCCACCTTTTCTCAAAATTGAACAACTCCAGCCCTTGCCCTATTATTCTCTCCTCTTCCAAATCTCTCCAACTCCCTTAACTCAATATCTCCATTTACCAGAATTCAAGTTTCTAATTCGTTCTCTAATTTTATTCTCTCAAGCAATTAGCCATTTTTCAAAGACACTCAAAAGTGAAACCCATAAAATACTTTAAAAAGAAGGGAAAAAGGCATAAAAAAGCACCATTAACGTTGACATATATATTTAAATTTTAGCACTGTCCATGAAACCCAATAAAAAGCAGATAGAACCTCTATAATCTTTATTTTTCTTCCTTTCGAGAAATTATGCTTTGGTCCGAATTCCTCTGGCCTCTTTTTCTCTTCTTTTTCTCTATGAAAATGATGAAAAAGGCATAAAAGAATACTTCTGTTTTCAAATAAGATTGGTAGAGTATCTATGGAGCAATATTTTGTTGATTTCAATTTGAAGGAGATGGAAAGTAAAAAATCAGATTTTTTTCTCAGCAAATATCTTATTTTACTGGGGAAAAAAATCTGCTGCAATTTGACTTGACAAGCGGTAATGAAAGGGGTTGTCTCTCTTTGGTATTCTCTTTCTGGGTTAAGTTCAAAACTTCTAAGGCGTGAGCGAGAGATACTCACAACGTCCCAATTAAAAAAAAGGATACACAGGAGTCCATTGAATCTGACGCTCGGAGTCATATATCCCTCGAATAGATCTGTTAGGAGGAAGATGCAGTGTTAAGAAAAAAGAAAAGAACTAAGAAAGAAGAAGAAAAGAACTGAAGAAACGAGAGTTTTTGGTTAAAATTACATTTATCCCTTAAATATGGATATGAGCACATATTGTCCTTTAAGTTTACAAAAGTTGAGCAGATATAGTCTACTTAACACAAGTTAACAAACACACCCTAAAATTAACGGTCCTTAATTTCGTTTGTGAATTCACCTGGGTAAACAATAATTTTCCACCGTGAACCCTTCTTCCCCGTTGCACTTCCTCAATCTGCCTCTAATGGGGAGAATCCGTACGAGCTCATGAGACTACTCGCTGGCTTCACCTTGCAAGCCATTTTTGTTGGATTATTTTCAGACTTCCATGGTGGACATAGTCCCCACTAACTGGAATATGATTTGTACAAAACTCTATGGAGCTCACCACCATCTTAATTGAAAGCTGCTTGTTGTGGTTTTGTCCACCACCACTTCAATTATTTCATAAATAATCTTACTAATAAATTTTTCTTGAAAAGACTTGTTGAATTCTAATTAATAATATGCATCTGCAAGCGAAGGCTCCAGCGGAAGGTTTAGACAGCGATGCAGCAGGCAGATAAGGGTTGAGCTTTGGAAGGATCCTCATCTTGGAAAGATATTAACTGCAAAAAATAACGATAATCTCAACGTTGGAACAAGGCTTTGAGGGCCTGATGTCATGTGGCTATGCTTCCTGAAGCTTGACTCCGCTCCAACTAGGGAAAAAAGAGGCGGAGACATCAAAATAACGAGGAAAGTGAACGTGGAAAAAGAATTCACAACCAAGTTAAATAAATTTTTCACCCACTCAATTCACAAACGGAAGGACCGTTAGTTCCTAGATGTGTTTGTTTAAGTAGACTACATCTCCTCAACTTTTGTAAACTTAAAGGACAATATGTGCTCATGTGCATATTTAAGGAATAAATATAGGCCTAACCCCAAAGATAAAGGACTATTGGCTAAAAGCTCGAAGAAATGACATTGAAGGAGAAAAAGTTGAACAAATGGGTCCATAAATTACAGATATCATTAAATAAGAGCCTCACATAAGTATCACATGGTATATGAGAATGAGAGTATGAGATTCAAAGTAAAATTTCTCATACAATGTCATTTTCCCTAAAACCAGCACTTTAGGTATTGCCCTATGGACCACCTAGAAGGATGCATGCTGAGGAGCGAAAGTTTAATGGGACACGGAAATTTCAAAATCAGTCACACCACAATTCAATTGGTGACATGATAATTATTCAGCCCAAATTGCAACGAGTCGAATCCTCCCTTTTGTTGCTGGCTCAAGAGTCTCAAGACCATTCACATTTCACCAATGTAACATACATAAATATTCAACCCACTTACTATATACTTCCTTAGCTTCATATTATGTTTAAATTTATTTGAATAAACACAAATTTAAGAATTACAACAACAATAACATACCTAGTATTGTCCCACACCGTAGAGTCTGGGGAGGATAGTGTGTACGCAAACCTTACCCCTACCTTGTGAGGATAGAGAGGCTGTTTCCAATAGACCCTCGGCTCAAGATAGTATAAGTACCACATTAATAAGAATATAGGCAAGAAGGGACAGTATCAAAAAACATATAAAAGCAGAATAACACAACAAGACAGTAAAGTGATACAAAATTTAAGCATTAAAAAAAATTAAAATTTATGAGCTTAAACATGATTACAGTAAATTCATAGTGTGAGGATATATCATTAAGAATAACAAAATATAGAAATATATTTCTGACCGACTAAAAAGGAAATAATATCACAAAACGAAAACAAAGGAAGTATGTGTTTTCAAGGTATTTGTTTAATTGAAACTTTTATATAGAACTATTGTATGTGGGTTAATACCTATATTAATATGGTAAAATTTGATTCAAATGATTCTTATATATTCTGGAAAACTTTGATCAATTCAATTGAAATGTGTACCCGAATATAGGTTAAGTAATAAACAAGAAAAGAGATAGAAAAGGGGTACTCTATCTCTTAATTTTATTTATATGCATCGCCACAATATTTGATAGTACTTCGCAAATTTAATCGAAAAAAGCATGTAACAGTGCTTGTAAAATATCTTTATAGTAATATATTTTAAGTTATAAACATAGTCAGTAGGGGTGTTCATAAAAATCGAAAAACCGAACCAAACCGAAAATCAAACCATACCGACCAAAAAAACCGACACTTTTTGGTTTGGTTTGGTTTTGGTTTTGAATTTTAAAAACCGATCAAATTTGGTTTGGTTTTGGTTTTAATCAAAAATTAACCGGAAAAAACCGAACCAAACCGACTATAGGAGTAGCTATTTCAAATTTATTATTACACCTATATATATATATATATATATAAAGTTTCAAAAAATTTATGGTGAATGTTAATCGTTTGCTCTTTTAGTACAGTTCTTTACCTTTATATTCTAGTTTGATTGTTAGTTTTCTTTTGTTAAGTGTAAGAAACCATTTCATGTTATTAAAAATATATTTTTAATTGAGTCCTTAAATTATTCATCACTATTTGATTCAATTATCATCAATATATTTTAGTGAATAATAAATTTCTCAAAGGGCAATTGATTTGATAGTGTTACGTTGAAAATGTGGTCGCCTGAATATGTGTTTAGTAGTGTATGTCTTATATTTGAGAAAAAACCGACAAATAACCGAAAAATTTGAAAAACCGACATAAACCGAATCGAGAAAAAACCGACTTAATTGGCTTGGTTTGGTTCTAATATTTGAAAAAACGACTTACTTGGTTTTGTTTATTTTTAGGGAAAAACTGATCCAAACCGAACCATGAACGCCCCTAATAGTCAGAGTTAAAAAGAAAAATTACACTCAGATCAACCCCAAGAATATAGAAAATGAGCCTCCTTAATATCATCTCATCAGTCGCTGGTAACTAATTGTGTCGAAAAGATGACAAAATCAATAGAGAATGTGATCCTCGTTTTGAAGCGAAGTTATATAAAGGACAAGCGTATAACACATAATTACACATGTTCAAAAACTTTATGAGCTGGCAAAGTTCTTTTTTACGTCAACTGTCCACACTGTTCAGATTCTTGTGGGCTCTTCAAACTTTCCTTTCTATAAATAAAATACCCATCAAATTTCTCCGTAACCCATAAAAGGAAAGTTCTATAAATAATTATTCTCCTAACTTAATAACTAAGAGAGAGAGAATGGAATTCGTCCGGTTTTCTCAAGTTCTTAGCTTGTTAAGCATGGCTGTCATTCTTTTGTTTATGCTAGGGAAAATGATATATTCTTGTTGGATTTTGCCTAAGCTGATGTATCGAAAGCTTAGGGCAAATGGATTTGACGGACCAGCTCCAAGTTTCCCTCTTGGAAATATAAATGACATGAAGAAGGAGTTGACGAAGATAGCTTCTCCTTCTTTGAGCATTAGCAATCATGACATTCATTCATTTGCATTCCCATACTATGCTCGGTGGCAGAAATTGCATGGTACGTAAACTTGCATCATATTTTAACACATTATCTTGATAAAGAATACTCCATAAGTTTCATTTTTCATATAGGGGTTTGAGTGTTCTTATTCTTAGATTTTTATTATATCTTTTGTTTCGTTTGGTTCAGTTTTCTTATTATCTTGCTGCTGTTATTGTTTCTTTTTCATGGCTTTTTCACTACCATATTTTATTTTTATGCTTTTCTTGAGCTGAGGGTCTATCATAAATAACTCTCTGCCTTTACAAGGTAGGAATAAGGTTTGTCTACACACTACCCTCCTCAGATCCCACCTGTGAGATTATATTTTTAGTTGTTATTGTTGTTGGTGGTGTTTGAGTGGACACAGAATTTATTTTTTATATTTGCGCAACGTATGCCATTTAAATGAACCAATATTCGTTTACTTCTTGTAGGTAAAGTATTTGTCTACTGGCTGGGAACAGAGCCATTTTTGTACATAGCAGATCCTGAATTTATAAAGAAGATGTCAGCGGTTGTAATGGGCAAAAGTTGGGGAAAGCCAAGAGTATTTAAGAGGGATAGAGATCCCATGTTTGGGAATGGCCTTGTTATGGTGGAAGGGATTAATTGGGTTAATCACAGGCATGTTGTTAATCCTGCTTTTTCCCCTGCCAGCTTGAAGGTATCTCTCTTCTCTCCATGTGTCTCTCTCTTGGCACTTCCTTAGATTCTTAATTAACAAACTAATCAACAAATTCGTCTCAGTCCCAAACAAAGCTAGAGTTCTAACTCATATTATTATCATACCGAAATCAAATTAGAGTGATAGCGAAAATAAATTCTTTTTAACAAACATAGTAACAATATTTAAAAGTTGTCTAATAAATTTAAAGCCTATTCCTAACTATTAAGTATTACATACATGAATCTTTTTCTTTCATTGTGCCCTATCTTTATCTAAGGCAACATTAATTCCAAGGATTTATAGGTCTTTCAATACAACTTCCTTCCATCTGATTTTAGGCCTACCTCATCCCCTTTTAATATCTTCACTCACCATAGTTTCATACTTACGTACCAGTGCCTCTATAGGGTAATGGAAGAATGACAAAACCATCTCAAGCGACCTTCCCTCATTTTATCATCAATGTGTGCTACTTGCACCTTCTGAGAAATGTGATTTAATCTTATCTAATCTTATATGACCGCACATCCATCTTAATATCCGTATTTCTGGAACACTAATCTTGTGGGTATGTGGGATTTTAGCAGTCCAAGATTCATTATCATATATACCGATCTTATTGTTGCTCTATAAAACTTATCTTTCACTTGAATAGACATTCACTAATCAAGTAGGGAAATTGTCACGAATTTAGTCGTGACTACATAATTAGGACCTAATGTTATAATATACAGATGAGTGACACTTTAGTCCCTAAGTCAATTAATTACTATTTTCAATCCTAGGAATAGCTAGCTAGTAAATCAAGGACATGTGTCCATTAGTACTGTTAGTGGTTATCTTTTTGGACCAGCTATCAACAGCTGTCTTTTCTTTTTTTCCCTATAATTGTATTCTGTCATTCGACAGAGAGGGCAGAAAATATTTTGAAATCCAATTTATCTTCATCTGCTATTTTCTCTTTCTCTTCTTCTTGAGCTCTCTTCGATCCAAATCGATCGCTAGCGTTATATTTGGTATCAGAGCAGTAATCTTAGCACTGATGGTAGATAAACAACGCGCCGGTGACAGCGCCAGAGGTTCCTCCAATCTGGAATTTTAGATGCAAACCTTCATGGAAGCATCCAACCGGAGACTAGAATCTATCGAAGACATGCAGAGAAGGATGAATGATGAAACACAAAGAAGAGTGGATACTATGATGACAGAGCTAGGCCGGCGTGAAGATTCTCGCACCTCAGGAAGGTCTTATTTGGCTGCCTTAGGAGTATCGCCGGTAGAGAGCCACCAGTCATCTGTGAGTGGGGGTCACCGTTCAAGTTCTACACCGGCAACTCCAGCCACGCCGGTATCCACAGGTGCCAACCAGATCTTACCCCTTCCACCCGTCACAGCACCCATATCTCGAACCTCACTACCTTCCTCCCTAAATGAAACAATGTCTCTGGGGTTGATGAACCCACATTTCTCCCACGCGCTGCACGCGTACCCCCCACCACCTACAATAGCCTATCCTCGCCCAGCTAACATTTCTACTAGCCTATTTGTTTCCCTACCCTATGTACAAACCATACTGTCTCAGCCCATTATCAATACATCCACCTCATTTGGAACATTTGGGTTCACTTCGGCTCGAACACACCCACAATCTTATTTTCCTTCTTATACCACCCCTTCTAATGTACCAATTTACACCACCTTGGCACACATGCAACCACAACCCTTGCCCCCAGGTCATTACTCTCAAGTCCATTATTCCCAGCCCATACCTGCAGAATATTCTTCAACAGTCACTTTACTCAACCTATTCCAACCACCCATTTTCCTCAATCCCTCAACTCATACACCCCTACTACCCAGCCCAACCGTATGCCCAAAGCTAAACTAGCCTTTCCAGATTTCAATGGCATTAATCCTCGAGGATGGATTAGGAGGTATGATAATTTCTTTGCCTTATACAAGGTTCCAGAGGAGGAGAAAATGACTTATGTGGCCATTAACATTAGAGACCAGATTGACCACTGGTTTGATTCATATTTGATAGATAACGGGGGACAAGTCTCTTGGGCTCAATTCTGTGTGGACATTTGCCTCAGATATGGCCAGGCCCAACCATTGGATGTGGTTATTGAATTCAATAGGCTTCAACAAGTAACAGATGTTGCTAGTTATCAACACCGTTTTGAGGAGCTGAGAGAACCAGTTCTGTTAGCTAGGCCACACTTAGACGAGGCCTATTTCATCACTTGTTTTATTGGTGGGCTAACTGCAGATTTAGGCCCAATGGTTAAGGTGGCCAACCCCCAAACACTCTTAACAGCTTATGCTACAACTAAGTTATACGAACAATCCTTGAATGCACATGCCAAAGCCCACAACCCAAAACCTTTTCAAAAAACCAGTTATTACCCTTCTAACCTAAGATCCCAATTTCCTTCTACCAGTCAAGGACCAACTCTTACCAATTCCAAGCCCAACCCCACCAGTAGCCATACAAAACAGTTAGCCCAAAAGAACCCCACCATTGAGTCTCTGAGAGAACGAAAATTGTGTTATAAATGTCATGATCACTACTTCCCTGGACATTAGTGCAAACCACGAACCTTAAATGCTATGGAGGGAATCGAAGTTCCTATAGAAGGAAAGGAAGAAGAAGAGGTGTTTGAAGAAGCTTTAGGTGAAGCAGTAGAAGAAGGGGAGGTGACATTGGCTATGCTAATGGGTTTGTCACACCAACCCACCACAATCCGAATTCAAGGGTGGGTCAAAAAGCATAGGGTGTCCATACTAATCGATAGTGGGGCTACCCATAGTTTCGTTGGCCCCAAGATTGTGAAGCAATTTGGGTTAATGATAGAACCACTTCACAAGGTTATGAGAGTGAGGGTAGCAAACGGGCAATTGATGCCTTGCAGCTACAATTGTCCAGAATTTACTTGGACTATGGGAACTGAGTCCTTCACCTTCACTATGGTACTACTTAAGGCAGGGGGGAGTGACATTATACTTGGAATGGATTGGGTGGATTCTGTGACACCAATTATGCTGCATACACGACCCCGTAGTGTCTCATTTTTTAAGGACCAAAGACTCATTACTATAATGGGTAGTGACACTGAAGATGTATTAGCTGAGGGGGATGCAAAATCCATTGCCAAGTTACTACGAATGGGCCATGGCTGCTTGTCAGCCCATTTGTTAGGCTTGGACGGTGAACAGGAGACACAACAAAGGGCGGGTCCAGTTCAAGAGCTCATCGAACAATTTGCTGCGATTTTTCAAGAACCAAAAGGACTTCCTCCGAGCAGAGGAAGTGATCACGCCATTGAATTGTTGCCAGGGTCCAAGCCAGTGAACCAACGACCTTATCGTTACTCTTATGAGCAGAAGAATACAATTGAAAAAATGGTAAGGGAAATGCTTGAAGCCCAAATTGTGACAACCAGTACATCTCCTTTTGCATCACCAGTCATCCTTGTTAAAAAGAAGGATTCAACTTGGCGATTTTGTGTGGACTATCGAAGATTGAACGATATAACGGTGAAGAACAAATACTCTATCCCAGTGGTTGAGGACCTGCTTGATGAACTACATGGAGCTCAGTTTTTCTCAAAAATAGATTTACGCTCGGGGTATCATCAGATTCGTATGAAACAAGGGGATGAATACAAAACAGCATTCAAAACTCATCATGGCCTTTGGGAATTTCGAGTAATGCCTTTTGGATTAACCAATGCACCGGCAACCTTTCAAGCACTCATGAACAAGATTTTCAGTACCTATCTCAGGAAATTTGTCCTAGTATTTTTTGACGACATCCTCGTCTACAGTGTGACCCTGGAAGATCATGTTAAACACTTGAGGGTAGTGTTTGAGTTCTTAAAGGGAACCAGTTGTTTGCAAAGCAGTCCAAATGCAGTTTTGGGGAGGCCCAGATTGAATATTTGGGCCATATCATTTCGGGCCAGGGCGTGAGTACTGATCCAACCAAGATTGAGGCAATGATTAATTGGCCTTGTCCGGTTAATATTAAGGGGTTGCGGGGTTTTCTGGGATTAACTGGGTACTATTGCAGGTTTATTAAAAACTTTGCAGCTATTAGTAAACCATTAACAGATTTACTCAAAAAAGGAGCTTTTTCACGGAATGAAAGTGCTACTACTGCATTTGAAGAGTTGAAGAACGCGATGGTGCATGCCCCAGTTTTAGCATTACCAGATTTCACCATTCCTTTTGTTGTGGAGGTGGATACCAGTGGAACAGGATTAGGAGCAGTACTAATGCAGAACCATAAAGCAATTGCTTTCATTAGTCAAGGCCTCAGTCAAAGACATTTGGGTCGATCAACTTACGAAAAAGAGCTGTTGGCCTTATTGCTAGCTGTTGAGAAGTGGAGGCATTATCTCCAACCCAATCATTTTATCATTAGGACAGACCACTTCAGCTTGAAATTCCTAAAGGATCAGCGAATAACATCGGCATTACAGCATAAAGGGATTTCCAAACTAATGGGCCTGAGTTATGAGATCCATTACAGGAAGGGAGCAGATAATGTAGTGGCTGATGCCCTGTCAAGAAAACAAGAATTTATGGAGGAATGTAATGGTCTTACTGTAGTGCAGCCCAAATGGGTACAAGAAGTACTGGAAAGTTATGTTGAAGATGCTGAAGTCCAGGACATCATTAAACAACTCAGTTTAGATGCAAGCGCAATTCCGAATACAACATTGCAAAAACGGATCATCAGGTACAATGGTTTAATTTGGGTAGGCAGCAGCAAGGGATTGAGGAAGTCCATTATTGAGCAACTGCATGCCACACCATGGGGAGGGCATTCGGGAATTACAGCAACGCAGAAAAGGTAAAGCTCATTTTCTTTTGGCCTAATCTAGGGAAGGACGTGAAGGAAGTAGTACAAAATTGTATGATATGCCAAAGAAACAAGGGGGAACATGTGCCTTATCCAGGGCTTTTACAACCATTACCAATACCCTCGAAGGCTTGGGAACACCTCACCATGGACTTCACGAAGGCCTACCTAAATAACAAGGGAATGATTCGATCTTAGTAGTAATAGACAGGTACACTAAGTATGCTCACTTATTTTCCCTGTCACATCCATATAATGCAGCACAGATAGCTCAGTTGTTCTTAGACAATATTTGCAAATTACATGGGATCCCAAGCTCTGTCCTCTCCGATAGAGATCCCATCTTTACTAGTTTGTTTTGGAAGGAGCTCCTCAAGGGGATGCAAGTGGAGCAACGTTTGAGCTCAGCATATCATCCACAAACCGATGGCCAATCAGAGAGGTTGAATCAATGTGTGGAAACATATTTGAGGTGCATGACAAGCCATAAACCACGGGATTGGAACAAGTGGCTGCCCATGGTAGAATTTTGGTACAACACGAACTATCAGTCGGCAATAGGAATGACACCATTCAAGGCTCTTTATGGCTTCGACCCTCCTCAGCCCTCTTTTGAGCTAGTGGCGCAGACACGATTGGAGTCAGTAGACCAAATCTTGAGAGAAAGACAGCTACTCAATAGGATTCTCAGGGACAATCTAACCAAGGCACAAAATAGGATGAAGCAGTACGCTGATTCCAAGAGAAGTGATAGGAATTTTGAAGTTGGCGATATGGTGTTTTTAAAATTACAACCCTATCGCCAAACATCAGTGGCAATCCGCCGGAATTTGAATTTGGCGGCTAAATTCTATGGGCCTTTTGAAGTGCTCCGCAAAATTGGCAAGGTCGCTTATGAGCTCAAGCTTCCATTGGAATCAAAAATTCATCCCGTTTTTCATGTATCTCAGTTAAAGAAGGTAGTGGGAAATTATGTACAACCATCAAAGGAACCACCAATCTGCACTGATGATGGTCAGGTCTTGACTGAACCAGTAGCCATCTTAGACCGCCGAATTGTGAAGAAAGGCAACAAAGCTGCTACCCAAGTGCTAGTACAGTGGGCAAACTTATCCAAGGATGAAGCTACATGGGAAGACTACACTTTCCTCACATCCCAGTTTCCAGATTTTGATCAGTAATGGAGAAGGAAGGACATAAGAGGGATGGAATGTCACGAATTTAGTCGTGACTACATAATTAGGACCTAATGTTATAATATACAGATGAGTGACACTTTAGTCCCTAAGTCAATTAATTACTATTTTCAGTCCTAGGAATAGCTAGTTAGTAAATCAAGGACATGTGTCCATTAGTACTGTTAGTGGTTATCTTTTTGGACCAGCTATCAACAGCTGTCCTTTCTTCTCTTTCCCTATAATTGTATTCTGTCATTTGACAGAGAGGGCAGAAAATATTTTGAAATCCAATTTATCTTCATCTGTTATTTTCTTTTTGTCTTCTTCTTAAGCTCTCTTCGATCCAAATCGATCGTTAGCGTTATAGAAATTTCATCTAAATTAAAGTCAAATATTTTTAAAACTCTGAATTGATTGATGTGACCCAGACATAGCAAGAGCCAAGAGGACAATATTAAAAGTGGATGATTGAGTCGCGACTCTCGATCGTGTAGAAAGATCAAAGATTTGTATTGCATAGATAGATAGGGATTTTCTTTTTGGTTTTTTTCTCACCAGTAATCGAGAATTCGAGATAATACATAGGGATTTCGATCCAAAGCCATGCGTTTTGCACCACTGCCTCAGCTGATATGTAGGTCCAAGATCGTAATACTAATAATTGAAACAAAAACAAAATACGATGACTTAAAATTCCAAGTAAATATTCCTTTATGAATTCAATTTTTAAGGTATTTAATATTAAATTTATTGTATTTTTAAAAGTGTGATTCAGATCTATTAGTTGTTACAAGTTTAATAGTAAATTTTGTACATAAATTTATGCTCGGCGCTGAAAGTACTATATTAGATGACTTAACATCCAGCTCCGACTACATAGTACGCGTATCACCGTATCAATACCTTCTGACACCATTTTCAGGTACTCAGGTAGTATGCTCCGTGTGAAATATATTCACATAATTCGATCATTAAAAAAACTATGATAAGCAGCCTATTGCAACCAGTTAAATTATAGTGTAATGAACGTGTTCTTTGAAAATCAAAATTTATTATTCATCATCTAAAAAGCCTTCCCTTAAAAATAATATTGTTAAAAGATCATGATATTCACTAACAACATAAGCACCACTAAACATGGTTGACAGGGTATGACAAGCTTAATGGTGGAGTCGGCCACAAATATGCTAGACCGCTGGGCGGCCCTCATCGACTCAGGGAAGAAAGAAATCGAAATCGAAGTCGAGAAGGAAATCACAAGCACAGCGGGGGAAATCATCGCGAAAATAACCTTCGGAATCAAGAACGAAAACGGGGGAAAAGTGTTTGATAAATTAAGAACACTGCAAACCGCTCTTTTCAAGTCCATACGTTATGTTGGAGTACCATATGGGAACCTGATATATCATAAAGAGACGTTGAAAGCCAAGAAACTCGGGAAAGAGATTGACGCTCTCCTTTTATCGATCATTGAAGCTCGAAAAAAGATGGACAAAGATCAATATTCTCAACATGATCTTCTGAGTCTGTTAATGCTAGATGAGAGTGCTAATGGCATGGATGGCCGGCTTGGAAAGACGTTAAGTAAAAGGGAATTGGTGGATGAGTGTAAGACGTTTTTCATTGGAGGTCATGAGACCTCTGCCTTGGCACTTACCTGGACTACGTTGCTTCTGGCCTTGCATCCTGAATGGCAAACTCAGCTCAGAGAGGAAATGAAACAAGTGTTTATAGAAGGTGAAATTGATGTTACACGGCTTAATGGTCTCAGAAAGGTAATCCCATTGTCCTCTTTTTTTTCTTTTTTGGAACTCAAACGAGTAGCTTTAATAAATTGAATCAAGCACCAACAAGTTTACAATAAAACTAGCAGCATGCTCCAAGTACCAAGTCAGACACATTATCACAAACGAATGGGATAAAGACGTTCATAGTTTACTTGTTTCAATTATGTATACCTACACTACATCGGTATTGAACAATTGAAATGTTTGTTAATAATGCAGATGGGATGGGTGATGAACGAAGTGCTAAGACTATATTCACCAGCACCAAATGTACAGAGGCAAGCTAAAGATGATATTCAAGTGGACAATAATGTAGTCATCCCTAAAGGAACAAATATATGGATTGATGTGGTGTCGATGCACCACGACAAGCAGCTTTGGGGTGAAGATGTTAACGAATTCAAACCAGAAAGGTTTAAAGATGACGTGTACGGTGGATGCAAACACAAAATGGGATTCTTGCCTTTTGGTTTTGGAGGACGAATGTGCATTGGCAAGAATTTGTCTCTCATGGAGTACAAGATTGTGTTATCCTTAATCTTGACTAGGTTCTCTTTCTCCATCTCCCCAAACTATAGGCACTGCCCTTCTATCCAGCTTTCTCTTAGGCCCACACAAGGATTGCCTCTTATAATCCGACCCCTTTGAATTACTCACTACAATAATTACTCTTTTCATGATTGATTACCATCAAAGAAAAGAAAAAAAAAATACTCCTACTAATAGCCAGCTACACTTTAAGATGTCGAGATATGTTTCTCTCTCAATTTTCTTTATGTTCTCATTTGTACTTTCTTTAGTCGTACTCAAATGCATAAGTAAGGATTCATATAGCCGATCCCAACTTGTTCGGGATGGAGGCGTAATTGTTGTATGCTTCAAGTCATAATCAAATAAATGTATAATTGAAATAAAAGTTTGAGGAAAGATTGTTTGGAGAAGATATTGCAAATGGATTATGGAGGACGACATTTTCAGAGGTGAATTCCAACGATATGCGAATAGAGTGGACAGAACAGCCTGTAATGTAAGGATTGATGATTGAACCACTTTGGTTTGTCTATTAAGAAGAGGAAGAAAAGAAGTGCTTAGCTCAGAAGGAGTTTGTTAGAATAACGTCTCGTTCCATACTCTATGTTGACTACCAAGTGGCCTTCCAGTAAGTTATTACTCAGGCACCCACATTCTTGGTATGTCAGCTACAGCTTACAGCATGTCTTTGTTACTCTTTTCTTTTTACTTTTTATTCCTCAGCGTTAATTTGCAACATAGTAAAATAACATGTAATAATAAGGCCCATTGGTTTATGTTGCACAAAAAGGCTACAAGAATGGTCTATTAGAAGAATTATACCGGTGACAGAAGAACCTGACTTACTTGAATATACAATGGCATGGAATATTATCCAGAAGTGCCTGTTTGCCCAAACCACCTTCACATATAACAATGGGCGCGCAACTTATCATTGAATATCACAGCATCATCACTAACATCTCTTCCAGAATGAAGTGCTTTTGATCTTTACACCAACAAGGTTGCAGACCTCTGACTCCATCTCCAAACAGCTGAATACAAATGAAGTTTACAGAATGCTTTGTAAAACAGAAAGAGATTATAAATAAAATATGATTGATCTGATTCTGATTCAGCAACTGCATCAACTAAAAACATATACACAACGGGAAGATCAGTTACCTGGTGAAACTTCCTTGACATGACGTACAACACTGCATGACAACTATCTCACTCAAGAATTGACGGGGATTTTATTGCAGCTCAAGGAACTGACACAGGCTGCCAACTCATACACTTACACGCCAGTCAGTCATTAACCAGACCAACTTTAGCATAATCACAAAAGGAATATCACTGACATGCCCAACCTCGTGCAACCATACATAAAGAAAAATTGAACTAAAAGGAAGTTTCTACTTTGGTAACAAGTTCATGAGAACCTATGTAAATGCATCTAGACTCTAGAGATACATTAGTCTTTGAGATGAGGAGGAAACACGGTATCAAAAACAACCCTTGCAAAAATATGCCTAATTTCATGCAATTTTCCTAATGCTAGGGACTCATAATCAATTTTACTGCCTCGTTTTCGTCGAAATCCCTTCTCTTTTCCCCTTCTAACACACTCAAATATTGCATCAACCTTTTGTGACAGTGCCCATGGGATAAACACCTGCAAATTGAAACGGAAAGGTGATAAAGGGAAATTGTATAACCCCAAACAGCTGCTTGAACACAAAATCACATCAAATTTTTTGGAACATCAACTTGAAAACAATCTAACTGTCCTGATACTGGTGGCAGAGACGAAAGGAAACAGGTAAAAATACAAAACTACCCAGCTACAGTGGCAGAAAAGATGAGGAACTTGTTGCTGTAATCATTCTTCTTTTGTACCAAAGGGTGAGGCTTAGCGTTCAATGAAATGGGTGAAAACATGAGAAATTAGGGTTCTAATCCCAGTACAGGAAGAAAATGGTAGGTGCTTTCTTCCCATCAACCTAAGTCTTGATGGGCAGTCACTTGACATAGAAGGTATCCGGTGGAATAATTGGAGATGTGAGCAGGCTGGCCCGGACTCCAACATAATACAAACAAAAAAAAAAGGGGGGGGGGGGGGATAATGAGGAAGTTCAATGAGAGGTGCAACAAACAACAAACCCGGTGTAATCCCACAAGTGGGGTCTAGGGAGCAGTGCAACAAACATGGCAATAAATGACAGCTAAATATATTACACCTTAAAGCAGATTAGCTCATTTTAACAACAAGAGAATCTCTATGAGATAATGCAAGATATACTAAAAAAAAAACAGCCATAGATCATGTACAAGATATCCAAATTCCGAATGCATGAAGCTGGAAGTTGGAGTGAGTTAGGTTGCCTGTATAGAATTATGACATATGCAAGGTAGCCCTTGATTATTTATTTGAAGCAACAAAACCAACAAAGAAAGAAAAGTTTTTATGTAGAAATTTCCTACGAACCAGATCCGACTTTGGCGCTTGAGGATACTCTGTCAGAGCTTGGGAAATAAAATGCTCATCAGTCATCTTTCGTAATGCAGCTTCCACATAAGTGGCAAGATCCATCATCTCATCCAACAATGCTTCATCTGACTCCACAATTCGGAAGTCTAAGAGCTCAGAAAACCTTGTATCATGTGGTTGAGAGATCTTTCTCGCTACTCCTAACACATCTGACAAAGATCCACCACAGTGGACAGCAACGCTAAAGGCAGCAACAACCAAAGGATCTCTAGGTCTGTCCACCAGTGCTTTATGGAATGCTAAGATCGCAATCCTAAAGAATCATTTTTAGTGATCACAGAGTCAGAAAAAGAGAAATTTTAATCTTATAAGCAGCTGCAGACAACTTCCACGAGATGCAGTAGATCACACATAAATCTATAGCTATAGCCCAAAGGACTCATTGCATATATATATATACACACACAAAATTAAAAAAAACTGTTCCCCACCCCACCTCCCAAAGCCCACGAACAAACCAAAAACTAACCCTTCCATTTTCCTCTTCCTTCCAACCAGCAAAGAAAAGAAAAGTTCTCCTTTTCTGTTCTTTTAGTTTGAAGGAGACGAGACAAGCACAAGTAGCTGTGAGTTATGAATTATGATAGCAAGGTAATAAAAAGAGAATTTCAACACAAAGGGCATTGCTGCCCATTGTCTCTACATAATGCTACGGGAAAATCCCTTACTCAGAATTCTTTATTCCACGACACTAGTCAACAAAACTTTCACTACATTTTTCTTTTCTCCTTCAGCTTGGGATTAATTGAACTCTTATAAGTATTACACTTGCCCTGTCTTGTCAGAACAAAGAAAAGACTATTTCAGGAATGTAAACAAACAAGAAATATTTGCAGCATCATTAAGTTTCTTTTACAGTGACTATGTTCTAGATTTGCTACTTCAGATTTTAAATCTATAGATCATATATGGAATCTGGAAATGGAAGAGGCAAGTAACAAGTTCAAAGGCAGAAATAGTTTCTCACCATAAACTAGAATGACAAGGCCTGTCGGGAGCCAGAAGGTTGTCCAATGTTGAAAACAAAGTCTGTATGACGCCAACATGAAGACGTGATTGATATGCTATAACCACCACGCAAGTTATACAACTAGAAAATTCAATCTTACTCATAACAGTATAACTACAGATGATTTTAACAAAACTGCATTTTCTGGGAGACAATTTTCTATTCCCTTTCTTTATCTCAGTCATTTTGAACAAGAATACATACTTGCTGAATGCATAAAAGATACATGTAACGATAAAAATATAGATTCCTGTTTACCAGAAGCATATTAGATCTCTTGTCACGCCTGCGAAATCCCTGGGAAATAAAGTAAGAAGCCTGCCAAATGGAGTGATACATCAAACACTTAGTAGAAGTAGTATAAACAAAAAAAAAGGTTAAACTTTCATACCTGGATTGGTAGAAGAATTTCTAGAAGTCCAAATTTCCATAATAATCTCAATGAAGCTTCAGCAGAACCATATGCCAGCATGTAATTCATTTCCATTAAGATCCTTCCCTATATCATGGGGATAAAAGTATAGGAACTCAAGAAATTCTTTTTGCTGACTAAAGGTAAAAGAATATAGCTAACATAATGAAAAATCTTAAAAAATGGAAACTCTTACCTTATCAAGTCTTGATATAGAAGATGCTAATTCTTTTACAAAATGAGCTGTTTCTCTAGAAAAACGAAATCCTAAACGGCCTGCTATCCTCACTCCACGCAAAATGCGAGCTGCAAAAAGCCCACCCAAAGTTAATGAAAAGATATTACAACTAGCAGGTCCTGCAAAATAAGATCCAACAAGAATTATACAAAATGACAACAAGACAAAGGATATTCTAGCTTACCACAGTCCTCGATGAAAGAAGCACTTGCGGGAATCACACATCTCACCTGCAAATGCAGCTAGGCTAAGCACAATTTTACACTATTAAAGGAGGTTAAACAACAATAATGAAAACTGTAAAAGATACATGCACACTTTAGCCCTTCTAATATCTTCCAGTCCACCCAAGTAGTCATAGACTATCCTTGCAAATGGATCAAACATCAATCTACAAATCAAAATTCTTCATTTAGTTTTTCTATTGAAATACAGAAAAAATGTCTATGCTTTAGCATATGAAATTGATAATTCAGACTACATCTGTTTTACATACCCATTGATAGTAAAATCTCTTCCCAAACAATTTTTCCAGCGAATGAAATCAGCCTCATCGCACATAGCAGGTCTTCGAACAACATTATAGGAATTCCTCTTAAATCTCCTCCCAGTGGTGTTAAAGCTAGAAACCTGTTTTGACACAGATTGAGAGAAGTATATAGTAGGCGTTTGGACACAACTAATACTATTTGCAAATCAATGCTTGTTTTAAATTGTGTCCATTAGTTAAATTTCAACTTGAAATAGACAATTTGAAGTTGAAAAACTGGGTTGAGGAGTATTTCAAGTAAAATAATGGTTTCCACTTACAAAACTTTAATTTTTTTTCAAGCAAAACTCATATCCAAACACCAACTTCCAAATACTCTTTTTGAACTTCAACTTCAAACATTCGTGTTTGCAACTTCAACCAAATATTTGCCCAAATGGGCCCTTCCAAAAGATAACTTCAAAACCTTCACCAGTCTAAGGAGATTTACTCTACTTAATAAGGAAAAAATAGATGTCAAACCAAGAAAAAGATGTTGCCCGAGAAAAACCTCCACAATGGTATCATCGACATGCACGTGGCATATAGGGAACCTCCTTCCAACAATTTCACATCGCTGAAATGTTTTCAGTACCTGCAAATGATTAATTGTATCCCAAATTAGCAAAAAAATGGCTCCATCATTAAATAACGATGTGTTCAAACCTCCAGAAATCAAAACAATTTCTACTCAGTACCCATAAAATAAAAATTGGTTAACAACCCTATGCTCATGCTCATGCTCATGCTCATGCTCATGCTCATACATCATAATTAGTGCCAAATAATTCCATGGAAACAATAAAAGTCAGTGTTGCCATGAAAGTTATAGTAAAAGGATGAAGTGAAGATTCAATTTTAAAGAGCACATGAGAGAATATCATTACTAGTTAGGAGCACTTAAAATTAAGATAGAAGGTTGCAGATGCAAGTGATAAGATACCACAGTAGCACTATTTTGTGACAAAAAAGGATATAGAACAATCTTCACAAAATATTGACAATTTTCCTTTCCTCCTTTTCCTGTCTATAGAACAATCTTAACAAAATTAAAAATTAAAAATGGGGTGCAGCTTACCTCTTTAAGTTCAGCTGACGTTATTATATCGAAATCTTTAGGAGTTTTGTTCAATAGAAGATCTCTAACACAACCTCCTACAAGGTACACCTCAAACCCTGTGAAAAGAGAGTAAAAAGGTGATAGTAGCAAGGAGGCGAAACAAAAATCATCATCTTACAAAGAGCAATACACAATATACAACGAATTCCTACATAAATATATTAATTAGCTTATTCGTGGGGATTGCACATTCATAAAAAGTCAAAATTCTCACATCCTTTTCTACCTTGTGCTATTGGACTAACTTTATATCAAAGAATAGCATAAAACCCCAACTAAACAAATATTACCATTTACAACAACAGCCCAATAATAGTCCCACTAGTGGGGCCTGGGGAGGCTAGACTATATGCAGACCTTACCCCTACCCCGGAAGGTAGAGAGGCTGTTTCCGGGAGACCCTCCGCTCAAAGACATAAGAGTTGTATCAAGTATTACCATTTACAATTTCCAAAATCAAGATTGGAAGGAGATAATCAAATACTCCCTCCGTTCCAATTTATGTGAACATGTTTGACTGGGCACGGAATTTAGGAAAAAATAAGACTTTTGGAATGTGTGATTCTAAACAAGTCAAAAAGGGGTTCAGAGTATTTGTGTGGTTATAAAAGATTCTCATTAAGGGTAGAATTGTAAGTTTAAACTAAATTGTTCTCAAATTTAGAAAGGTGTCCTTCTTTTTTGAACGGACCAAAAAGAAAATAGGTTCAGATAAACTGGACGGAGGGAGTATCATTTTTGAGCACATACCCTTTTTCTTTAGCCCATTCAGAACCACTCTTGTAGGCTTTGCAATCATTGAGGTACTAATTCCAAGTTCTTCTGAACTCAATTTCTTCCATTTAGGTCCACTCTCATCACCTATTCAATTAAAATAACATTCTAAAGTGCCAATTCACAATATATAGCTCCAAACAAAAATTGGAACTTAATATCAAGGTTTTACCTTTTACATGTGAAGTATTATGGGATCGATTGTTTAATACAATTACCGGATCCACCAGCGGTGCAACATCTAGTGCAGCAATAGAACTGCGCTTACGGACCTGAAATCAAGTGAAAGTAGAAAACTTGAAGTGCTAACAATGAAATTCTGGTTTCATAGAGAGACAAAATATGTGAAAAAAGTAAGGACCTTGTGAAGGCAGAAGATGAGAGGACGATGAAAGTTGAGTTTGGTTCTAAAGACGAGAGCTTGAGCTGCAGGTATTGACATTATGATACGGGGAGAAGAGCTCACTTCCACTTGTAATATCTTTCGAAATAGGGCTTCAATGTCTTTGAGAGGGAAAGGATATGGGTAGGGCTTTGGTATTACCTTTCAAAACTTACTACACCAAAGGTTTTCTTTTTAAAGCATAATCATGTCAGTTAGTTAAATTATTGTATTTGATTGGGGTATATACAATTTCTTTATGTGTAATAAACTAAGATTATGTATTCCTTCATCATACACAAAAATTGTTATGTTTGTTTGAGGTATATAAATGGGTTAATAAATTAATCCTAATTTATTAAGGAAACTAGTAAAATTTTTCGCCTTCGTGGGTTATAAGAAATATTACTAAATTAAAAAATTAAAAAACAAAATAATGATATATAACGGATGAGAGAGATAATTTTTTAAATTAATATGGATATAAAAGATAATTCTACATATTGATAAATTATATACTTAGCATTTTAATTAGAATTAGATTTTAGGTTACTGTATTTTTTCCTGGTTTTCTTTTAAAAAGGTAATAAAAGAGAAAGAATTTCTAAGAAAAAAAATTCACTTACATATATTATAATAAATAAATGAGGAGAAAGTGAGAGGTTGACACATGACTTTTTAAGTATAATTATAAGTTAGAGACATGTAACTAGATAATTTTTTCATTAGATAGTAAAACATCGGCTTCGCTAGAATTTCTTATATTCTAATAACAGAAATATGAAATAAAAGTAAAGAAACTAATAACGAAAAGAAAAGAAAATAAAACAAAAGAAATATGTGGAAATTGCAGCGTATTCTTTGTTCTATTCCTTCTTGTTATGCCATTTTAGCCTTCATCTTTGTCGTTTCCCTCTCATATTCTCCATTCCAAGGAGAACAAAGTACTTCACTTCAGAATACCTCAATTATTTGTATCCTCTCAGCAAAATAAAAAAAGTTTTTTTTGTTTTACAAATAATAGGCAATTCAAAGAAGAAATCAAAACATAACTTTCAAAAATAAAGATAATTATCACAATACTTCAAAAGAATCAAAAGTAATAAAGTAAACCAAATAATTTATTTTATTTTGTCGTACATATAATACATGTTCCAATCATACGAATAAAATAACTACTTTATAAAAATCACAAGTAAAACTGAAGTAGAAAATAATTTCTATTTTACAAGAAACATCACATGCTGATGGCTTAGCAAAAAAGAACCTGCGCCCGCTCAGTGACTTTTAGCTGTAACACTTTTTACTCGCTAAAGAAATAAGAAGTCTTGTCAAAATATCCAATGAAGGGCGTATTTGAATGTTCAAAATTTATCCCCACAATGAGTTAGTAGTAGTTAGCAGACTTCAAACAAAGTTTAACTCATAAGTAATTAATTTGAGTCTAAACAAAAATACAAACTTGCGACAAACAAAAGTTCATACAAAATAAAGCGAAAGAGAACACATGAGAAAGTAAATAGAGAAGAAAAAGATACAACTTGAGACCTTAATCTTAAGAAAATAGAAGAAAATAGAAATGCAAAATCAGCGTGTAATTTTTTGTGTTCGTGTCGACACCCCCTCTGGCAATATCAATCATTATTCAAGAGCCTTCTTCCTCAAGCCAAACTAAAACATGAATCGAATGTTACAGTAAATATGACAACATTACTATTTCAGGTAAAGAATAGAAAGAGTAGTCTTGGGCAGGGGTCTCATGAAACAAAGTTATGAATTTATATAGTAAAAAATAGATGAATACCATAAGGTATTTTACTTTTTAAACTAAATATTTGGGGGTTATGAATATGAAAAGTATGAGAGTTATGGATACTATTAAAAGTAGAAGTTAAGGTAGTATGAGTTATGAAAATGAGAGAAATGAAGTGGAAGATTAAAAAATGAGATAAGTTATATCATAAACTTACACGTTAAATTTTTGGAGGTTATGAATATGAAAGGGATTGGAGTTATTGAGACTATTAAAAGTACTAGTATCTATGAACGTGCGTTGCACGTTAATAATGGCACATGATGATTTAAACATTTATTTATATGAAGGAACAATAAAATTTAATTAATAAGAGAAATTTTATGCATAATAATACAACAATCATCTAAATATCGAAAAATATTATTACATTAGCATAATACATGAATTTAAAATAAAAGGACATCATCAAAACTTACACAAATGATCAACTTTGTCATGTTAGTTAGATAATTATGTATTATAATTTAAAAGTACTTAATGTGATGGTATCTTAAAGAACACTTCTTTGTGGACAATATTTTTTTGTGTATGTTTCCTCCTAATGCTTTGGTTGCTCTGCCTTAACCAGAACTTTTGTTGTCGATCTTGATATCCCTCTTGAAAGTGCAACAAATAGTTGTTCGTGCAAGAAAACATATTGCGGTAAATATAGTCCAATATTTAGGATGTTTGTCCTTGTACTTTATTTATTTATTATATTTACAAAACATAAACATACTAAAAATTATTTTCACACAAATTTAAAAGGATATTCCTTAGTTTCGGGAGACGAAAGTTGAACTCATGGATAAGAATATACTTAGAAGCACATTGACCAGTATCATAATTTTTGCATGTGTGATGTGTGACGTTATAGTCAAAACTTCTATATACTATTTGTGTACTATTACATAAGTTATTCGGCGTATTTGATAAAAAAATATTATTTGAGTAGGAAAATAATTCAAATATAATATAAAAATATATTATTGTGGGGTGTATTTTTTTTTTCTCAATTTCTACTCTTTATGCGGTCCATTTAATATTACTTTTTTTTTTGGTATCGAACATTATGGAGTGGTAATGTATTTTCAATGCGGAGGATTCTAATAAAATTTATTTTATTAAACCTTCCTACACATTTTTAATAAGAATTTAGTAGACAAATTTTGTTAATTTTAAAATCTTAAATATTAAAAATTAGCATAGAACGTATTATAGTCCAAAAAGTATGTTATTGCAGTTATGCCCTTTCCCAATGAGTTCTTCAATTTAATATTTTAGGGCTATTTTGGTATATTAATATTGTGTTTATACTTTTATAATAATATAGGCTCTCCTTTTTTCTAAATGGATTTGGACAATATAATACATTCTCAAATTAAATTAGTAATAGGATATTATAATACGTCTTCAAATTAAATTAGTAACAGAAATTTTTAAGAAATATATACTAAAGGTAAATGTATATATTTTTCTAAATGGATTTGGACAATATATATTCTCAAATTAAATTAATAATAGGACAATATAATACGTTTTAAAATTAAATTTGTATTAGGAATTTTTTAAGAAGTATATTCTAAAAGTAATAAGATTACATGGCTAAAAGTATTAGGATTATACTAATAGGATTCCTAAAGGTATTCATATAGGATTTCAAACATGTATTATGTAAATTTTAGTTGATTAAAAATCCAAATTATTAGGCGGGCTTGACATGGCGTCCTATAAAAGCAAGAATCTTAAGTAGTCGACTCTATTTACAATAACCAAATAGTAACAAATTTGAATTTTTTGATTTGTGAAGATAGAAAAGATTTTTTCTTGGATTATATAAGAATAATTTGATAAGAACGATATTAGGTTTCATATAATTCTTTAACCCAATTTGTTTTGGGTGAATAAAAGAAACGAATAACATATTTAGTCCTGGTAGGATTGAAAGTTCATAGAAGTTAATTTTTAATATTACGTGGGCATCATATTTGGTTGCAAAATGTAGAGTTGATTTCAAGTCCTATTATTATCAAAACTTTAAAGATTACAATTTTATCCAATATTAGTAATATTTTTAAGGCTATTACATGACTAAAGATATTTTCTTGTTTAATTTTATATGAATTAGACAGATGGAAAGTAATTATACTAATAGGATTCCAAAAGGTAATCATGTATGATTCCTAACGTGTAGTATTATGTCCTAAAACTAATTGGATTATAAGGCTAATATCTAGAATTTCGGTTACGTCCTTTTATTATGAGTTATTATGCTTAACATTATAAGGTTATTTTTGTAAACCGACATCGTATTCATACTTTTATAATAATATAGAATATAGATAGATAGATAGGTTATGAAGATAAAGAGTTGTGTGTTATGAAAATAAATTTTTTGATTTTATTATAAAATAAATTGAAAGAATGATGAAAAATTCCCAAAAAACGGAGAAAAAAGATAAATATGTTTCTTGGCCTAAGAGAGGTGCCACCTCAATTTGTTATTGCCCACTTTTATATAGATATATAGATGATTGGAGTGCCACGATCAACTTTTAACGAATGTGTTGGAACAATTAGCCAATTTTATTTTTTAGTTAACCAGAGCACAGTAGCATCACATAATGCATCCTTCCACCAAATACATTGATGGTTGCGACTGCCTCATTTCTGCATCTCTGTAACTCTTTGCAAAATAGATGAAATGCTTTATTATAACTTATAAGTCATAATAGGAGGAGGCGCCAAGGCCTGCGGACGCCTGCAGGACTACCTCGGGTCGCCTGACGGTCTGAAAACAACAACCTCACTGTGGTCCAAAAGCTACAGCATCGGGATCTGCACACAGTGCAGAGTGTAGTATCAGCACAACCGAACCTATGTGCTGGTAAGTGCCTAGCCTAACCTCGGCGAAGTAGTGACGAGGCTAGGACCAGACTACCAAATAAACCTTTGCAGTTAAATCATATACAGCGGAAAAATAAAGGCAGAAATATACAGGTAAAGATAGGAGGGGGAAAACAAGCTGCGAGGAAATCAAGTAACAACAGAAAACCAATAAATAACCGTAAAGAACACCATAACTCAATTATCAGCAAGAATCAGAATATCAAAGACAAGTGCACGGCATCACCCTTCGTGCTTTTACTCTCGTCCTCACCATAAGAATCAATATAATCGGCACGGTATCACCCTTCGTGCTTTTACCTCACATAATCATGGCACAGAATTATCCTTCGTGCATTATCACTCATATCATAGCACGGCATTGTACATCGTGCGGGACGGCATCACCCTTCGTGCTTTAACCTCACAATATCGGCACAGTATCACCCTTCGTGCATTAACACTCTCTCACAAATATCATGCACGGCATCACCATTCGTGCT